GTTTCTACTCTGCAGGTGATGCTGTGTTCAGACGCTAAACAAAGGCACTGGCAGAATTGGATCTCTCAGTTTAACAAGTTTCTTTGTGCCAAGTTTTTAAAGCGCGAGTTGTGTGAACAGTGACAGCACTGTCAATGCTGGTACTTCCTTGGAGAGCGACTGACACTCACAAGGGCCTAACAAAGCATTGGATCTCATTCAGCAAGTTTCAGTCCCTGAGGGCCCTGCTTGCAATCTGCTCCCTTGTGAAGCCTCTTAATTTCAATGTAATATTTCCAGCACCATGGGATCACACTGTTCTTGCTTGGGGGCAAAATTTTTTCATACACACAAGCTGTCCCCATACTGTGACGCATGTCGCAGCATCACAGCAACACATGGCTCACCACTGTCATACTATACCAGGATGCTCAGCTATGCCTGACCACAGTGGAAACCACATGTACAATTTTTTGAAGCAAATTCAACATGAGACTAGAAGCTTTCAATCAAGGCTCCATTTGTGATGACTAATGCACAAAGAGATACTCAGATTTTCTCTATGTAGGCTGAAATGAACAACCCACTGTCCGGCCACACTCTCGACACAGGCACTGTGGAGGAGTTGCAGAAGGGGGCTTGTCAAACTAAGTTAAGTAAAAGTGTTTGTGTCAGTGCAAATATCACAGCATGAGTGTTTTCTGTCTGTGTGGGGCATCACAGAAAAATGGTCAGGCTCAGAATTTATTAAAAAGTGCTCATCCTCTGACTTTAACTTACTGATGAATGCACTGATGTTTAAGTATGAGAGATCTGTGACAAGTGGCCTATTTTGAGAGCCCACATTCATATTGTGGGAAAAGCCACAGTGGTGGTTGCTCTAATCACAATGTGATTTATTTAATCAGGGGTTAGTACTGACTTGTGTAACTTCCTGAAACTGAGGTTATACTACATGAATTTTGTCGTGTTTCTAATAAACAGTAAACCAAGGTGTAGAGTCCAATTACAGAACACTAGTGAGGCTGGCAGGTAAGGTACAACAATTTATTTCACACAGCAAGTCAGTTGTAGCTTACTGTGCTCAGGCAGAACAACCAGGCAGGGAGAGGCAGAAACGTAATCAGTTCAAACCAAACAATCTATGGGGCGAGTCTATACACAAAAAAACTTGGTAACATAGGAAACAAGATTCCAGAGGTAGCATACAAGCTATGCAACACACAACAAAGGCTACAGGTGAGGAGTGTGAGAAGGTCGGGACAGGGACAATCCTGAGAACTGCAGAAGGATTGTGGAATGACAGGCTCTAAAAAGGTTCAGAGCAAGGCTGAAACTGGGAGCATGACACTGACATGCATTTACCGTGTGTGCCCACTGTAAGTTATACTTGAAAAGAACGAAACAAAACTAATTTAAGATTCAAATTCCAATGTAACAAAACAAATATTCAGACATTTTAGACCAGCCTGCCTCATTGTTCTCATTTGCATTCACAAAGCGGCGATGTCAAATTAAGCTGTTTTGTGCATTATGCAGCAGAGACAAACAGGACAGGACTTGGGCTGCTGATGACTGGACAAGCAGATGGTGTGTAAATAATGTACGTGGTCTTATGGGAACATCCAAGTCTGTCTGTTTGCTTTGATACACCAACTCTTCTCCCTCACACAAAGTGACCCCTGTGATGGTAAACACTGACTCATAGCATTCGTGTGACCAAAGCACTACTTTATATGAAACTTACATTTCTAAAAGAAAAGGCAGTACATACTACTTTCTGCATTATTTTTACCCTGCACACACAAACATACATTGCTTACATCTCTTTTCATTTATCTGTTAATTTTGCATCCAGACAGCAAGTAAGTTAGGTTATCTAATTTCACTTTTCCAAAATGTTTTTTTTTTAATGTACAAGACGACACCTGGTAGAAGAGTTGCTTTTTCACATATCTTATTCCAAAGAGAAGTCATGGACAGACTAGCAGTTGCAGAGCAGCACCCCTGCCGCCTGTAGCTGCTGGGGATTCATTGTCTTTCTCAAGGGCAAGTCATCTGGGAAGATTCTTGTCATCATGAGGGCATTCTTCAGGCACAGTGTGATTTCCCAATAAAGCAAGCTGCCAAGACAGATACTGGATGTAGTAATGACATCTCCAGCTCTTTCCTGCTCATGTTCTCTCTTTCTCTCTTTCACCTATGAAGTAGACACTGCCAGTGCACTGCAGACAATAGCTGCAGTAGTTACTCTCATGCTTTGTCTTTTGCAAAAGCTTGTGTGGATATGAAGACCCTGAAGTGGGCGCAGCATCATTTTAACGAATTCAGCAGTGACAATGACAACCAGCTTTCACTGCTTGGATGTCTGTTCAGGCAAAAATTATGACAGAGTCCCGATCAGTAATGATGATTGCAGCTGCTGGCAAAACCAAAAGGTGTTGTTTGTTGGGAGTTTGTTGATTGTTCTGGCAAATGTAGTGCCCCCCCCAACGATGACTGTGATAATTGTGGCAATAGCAGGAGCTGCAAAGATTTGACAATGACACATTAGCAATGTTCCTGACGCAAGAGAAGCCATATTGTCTTCAGCAGCGAAGGTATTGGGTAAATAGGCTAAAATTACACTTGAAAGCAGGTTTAGTGAGTGTAAAGCAGGCACAAGATAGACAGTGTATTAAGAAGGAACAACGGATATTTAGATTTACTGTGTCCTTTTCATAATCTGTACTAGTTTTGTTATAGTCAGGTCATCTGTTCTCATTCCAATAATGTGAATAAAACCTGGCGAGCCCACAAAGCAATGGCATCATCATCTTTGTCAGATTTCACTTCTTTCAGTGACTGAGTTCAGGAACTCTGCACCTTTTACCTCTATAACATTTGTACACACAGTTTACTCCATTAGGATTCAGGTGATTTACTCAGCAGTCATAATCCATTTGCATATTTACCTGAAACTGAGATGTTTAATATTCATGTTTAGGGAAATGGTTAAGATTAGGAAAATATCACAAGCTGGTTTAAGTTATGAAAAAAAGTCAACGGGGTCTCAGAGCAAGGAAGGACATGTTTGCTTTGTCTAGATTTAACCCCAACATCAAACCTCCGTGTTTTCAATCCTTACTCTGAACCACATGTACAAAGGATACAAACCTTGATCTCGAGGGTTAAAGCCCTGTGCTTTGGACTCATCCTGAGCAATATCCTGTGACTTCTGTACGGTACCAGAAGAACACAACATTTTATGGACGAGGAAGAAAAAAAAGAGTTACTTGCTATAGAACCATAGTCAAGGCAGGAATACCATATACTTAATGTGGCAAAGTAATTTAGTTGAATAACTTTCATTTTTAGGAGACAGGCCTAGGTCTGCAGTGGAAATACAGTGTGCTGGGGATCCTCCACCATTACTGCACTTTGTTACTAGTTCTGGTTGTGATTTTCAGTGACAATCTCTAGAACTGTTCTTTTTGTTTTACTTTGAGCCATCACCCCTTAAAACATCTGTGCATGCCCCTGCCTTGTGTGTACTGGCCCTCATGACTAGACACACCTGTGGTTGCTCTGTCTCTCCCTCCCTCTCTCACTGTTTCACCAGTGCCTGTCTGGATGTTCAGTTTTGGCACTGGGAATGGTGCACACTTCGATGGCAAGCACAGTGGTGTTATTTGTTGCTACGATGCTGATGGCTGTGATGATGGTGGTGGTGACAGTGAGAGCAGTATTGGCTAGCAGAAGCAGCAGGCACCAGATCCCCTCCTGTTTGTTCAGAGAGACACACAGCAAAGCTTTACTGTGTTCATCCCAAGGCTGCAAACCCCCAGTAAAACCAAAACACTGGCACTGGTTAGAACACATATTGTTTTCATGCCATTTTCCAAATTCATGCCCGTCTGCCCGAGTGTTTGTCTGTGCATCTGTCTTACTGTCAGGCTGTGTGTGTCTGTTTATTTGCCTGCCTCTTTGTGTTTCATTATTCTGTGCTCATGTATTTTAAGGCTTTTGTAAATATACAATGTTCATGCTTGGTTTTTCTGTTGTTACCAAAGATATGTATATAGATAAAAGACCACAAACTCTCTTTATACTTTTTTTCCCCACACAAGCATACATGTATGTGGGAACATTTTGCATGTCTGAATATGTGTGTGTGTGTGTGTATGTGTGTGTGTTCAGGCTTGTACAAGTCCACATATGTGTGAGTGGGTGATTTCGGCTCTGCAAGCCCAGCACCCAACCATCTGTCACAAAGGGGCCACCGTGTTCTGAAGCCAATCATCCCCTTCCAACAGCTTCTAGGATCCTCGCTCTGCTTTCCAACGGTGGTCCGGCATGCCAAATACACATTCACACACACACAATGACAACGACAACGTCTGCCACATGCTCCTATCAGTGAGCGCACACGCACGCACACACACACACACACACACACAGACAGACACTAGCCTTGAAAACTATTAAGGCCCCTTTCCCTCACTGGAGAAAATCTGGCTTTCATCATAGTTTCAAGTACTGTAGCCACTTGTTTGGTAGTTCAGAGTCACTGATTGGTTACTATCATCAGCTGAATAGTTTTGCAGCAGAGCTAACAGATTACACACATTTCATGTATCCTGTATTTATGAATTCTTGAGTAACAAGTTTGGATTCTAAATACCCCATGTGACTAGTTAAAGGAAAGGTTTTATATTTTAGGAAATACAAATTATTGTTTGAGTTAGCTGGGAAGGCTGATGCCACCTGTACAGCAAACATACTGACAGGGAACAAACAGTTGGCAAACAGTATCTGGAAGACTAGACAGCGCTCGGAGCACAAACCTTCACCAAGGAAAATTCCGTTTCCCATAATGCCATAAAAGCTATATTCCCATGATAGTTTGACCCCCATAATACGACTGCTTGACCATAAAAAACTACTGCTGACATTTGGAATGATGCTAATATCATTATTATTAGTTTGAAAGTTATTCAAGAAAAAAAGATAAACACAACAGACATCTACTTGTTGTTTTAGGGGTAAAACAGTAACTTCAGTGAGTGGACCACGGGCAAAGCAGTGAAGACATCACATATGTGCAAGTTTATGCTTTGCTTGTTCAACAGCTGTTTGACATACTGCTCATAGTCTCCATTACTGGTTGATTGTTGCACTCTGGAGTAATCCTTCACGTCCTCTGCTCAGCTGTGTGTGTTTGAGGAGCGCAGCCCTCCTCTAAACAGAGAGGAAAACAAGAAAATAATTCCATTACCACAATCATAGTAAACTTCTATTAAGTTTCTTCCAGTTTTATTTTATGCACATTTGTTTGCAAATAATCTGGATGTCTGTGAGTAAAGATGACTGTAGGTGTAATATGGTTTCCCCCACCTGCAAATTTGACAATTAATGCTCATTACTTTTCTCTGGGAGAGGTCTAGCTTGTCCACTCCTTTTACAGCAGGTCAATTAGAATCCAGCCGAGTAGTGCACTTCACTGATGGAGCACACTAAAATCTTTGACCCCCTGTGATTGCACTGTGTGTCCACTAACAGTGTAATGGGCTAAGAGTGCTGAACTACAGTTCTCATCTCCTGTAAGTACTGGCCATTAAAAGTTAGAGGGGCCATATCTAAGTCAATATGATCTATGAGAGACTTAATAGCCACTCAAAATTTAGATCCATTCACACCACAGCTCTTGGGTAAATGGGGTGGTAATTGATTTTTACAAATAGTCATGCAGCAACAATGTGCAGAATTTAGTGTTGGTATCCTTTTGCTTTGATGTTGTAATCTATCAAATTTGAGCTGTTCGTCGTTTTTCTGTGTAGGCATCTTACAAGATCAGCAGATTGCTGCAAGCATTACTGTACATACTGTAGATACAGAAGCAGATGGTATGCAGGTGTAATTTGTTTTATGTAAAAAAAAAAACCCCCAGTAGAAAAGAGCAGAATGAAAAAAAGCTCTTCTGTATTGTTAATACATATCTACTCAGCAAGTTCGTCCTCCCTCACAGATGAAAAGGATGTGCTGCCATTCTCAGGAGTCAGCTCTTCAGGCACTTGCACCATGGTCAATTTCCTTAAACACGCTCACAAAGACGTGGCTTCCTCAGCAATCCTGTTAGAGAGTAGACCAGCTCAGCTCCTGCCCTCCATGTTGTGTTGCTGTATTGAACCGGTATCTGATTCACTGACCTTCTAGCTGCCTCATGCCTTGATAATGTAATCTAGCTGCTGGTTCACGTTTCTCCACCTGCAGCTCTCCTCCATTTTCTCTCTCACGCCACCCATGTTAGTCAGTCACACACACACACACAATCTAAGAACAGCAGGATGTTTTGTATCTTCCTTTTTAGTTTGTTGACTTAACCTCTCCCCACCCTATGGCTGGGTATTTTTGGAGGGTTTACGTACTGCTAAGTTGAACAGAACAAAATAATGGTCAACAGTGAGTTATAATAAAACTAAGACTAGCTCCTGACTAAAAAGACCTGTGCATCCCTCAAGTTCCCATCATGCTGTACTGAGAAAATAACAAATGAGGATTTGCTGCATCTTGCTATTTTAGTTCACTGGAAAATTAATAGCTATGGGTTTTGGACTCTTTGGGGAAAAAAGACATTTGAAAGCATCACCTTGGGTTCTAGGAAACTGATGACATTTTTCAGCAACTCAACTGATTAATATTAATTGAAAATGCTAGATCTAAAACAAGACCTCAGTAACTCAAAATGGTCCGCAATGGGGGAAAAAAACATCAGTCTTTAGTAAATAAGATATCAATCCGACATTCAGGGACACCTTTTGGCATTTTGTGTTACTGTACATACACATTTCCTTGGTGCCAAAATAAATAAATAAAGAGACCCTACAGTCATTTGTTACCATACCATGAATAAAATACATTACACAGTGCTTTTACTCTTTGTATTTGCATCCTTGTTTCTGCATTTTGTCTTATATCCTTCCATTATCTATACCACTGGAACCAATCCCAGCTGACACTGGGCCAGAGGCAGGGGCCACCCTGAACAGGTCGCCAGTCTATCACAAGGCTGACATGTAGATAAACAACCACACACACACACACACACACATACACACACACACACACACACATACACACACACACACACACACATACACACACACACACACACACATACACACACACACACACACACACTTCTATGGGCAATTTCACCAGTCAACCTAAGCTGCATGTCTTTAGACTGTGGGAGGAAGCTAGAGTGCCCGGGGAGAACATTCAAACTCCACACAGAATGGCCCTGGGTTGGCCCAAACCCAGAACCTTCTCACTGTAAGGCAACAGTGCTAACCACTGTGTCATTGTGCCACCTACGTATTGTTTTGTGAAAATGGATCCAAACAGAGTTATTGCTTAAATGTACATAAACCCGACCTGCTTTTTTTTGTTTTATACAGGCTTAAGCTTCTTTTCCCACTTTGTGTTTCCTAATGATAAACAAAAGATTTACAGAAAGGTCTCTAGTGTTTGAGCAAATCCTACTTAAACATCCCACCTGCTTTATATCTCAGTGACTGACTAGCTGGTTTGTGGCAGTGAATCTCTCATTTTCCCCCTCGCTCTCATTCCTGATGTATTGTGCCATCTGGGAAATCTGTATCACCAATTTGCCTTGAGCTATTCAGCAGTCCAATCTATAAGTCAGTCTATGGTATATACTCAGTTACAAAAAGCAGACATCCAGTTAGGCCAGAGAGCATTTGCTTCAGGCCACCCACAAAGCACCAAGCCCAGTCTCTCAGAAACTGTGGTTGGACATTGTAGGAATGAGGGAAGAGAATGGATGGAGTTGAATGGAAAAAGAAATGGACTTAAGTGCAACACTGGGAACAAAAGCTGACTGAAAGGGGGAAACCAGAGGATATTTTTGTGTAGCTATGCCCCTTTGTCTTTCAAGCATATTAAAGCATTCACCTGGTCAAGAAAAAGTACGCGCACGCACACACACACACACACACACACACACACACCACTGGATATACAAGACATAGCCTCATTCGGAATACATAGACATGCAAGCACACACACCTAAGCAGAGAGTTTTGCATGGATGTGCTTCTGTTAGCTGTGGCCTGGTTGCTAGGCTACGAGCGATTCCCCTCTTTGGAGGGGACCTGACATTAGGGAAAGTAAATTGACCACAGGAGACTAATCTGTTGTAAAACAGCAGCTGGAGTGCGCACACACACACACACACACACACACACACGCCAGCTCTGTATTTCAACATATACTTTTTCCCATTATAAAAACATACTACCTTCCATTCTCTACTGTACATCACCCGTTTCTCTCTCTCACACACACTATAATTTAGCAGTTGGCATCCTCTTTGGGCTAGCAGCGTGACTATCATGGGACACTTTTACACACCCAGTTTTCCTTTGTTGAGGTATGTGCATGTATGAGAAAGTAATGTGCGTCTTTATGTGTGTACCAGGTTGTATGACCTAGACCAAACAATTCAGTAAAGCATAAAATAGTCTACATGTTGATCATCTCCTCACCACATTTTTATCACAAAATAGTATCAGTTAATATCAGTTTGGGTAGCGAGTAAAGATTCTATATTGATCTTATTGTCAATAAAAACAAAGAACATTTTTTGTATTGTCGGTGTAGAAAATGCCTAATGTACAGTAGCTCTGTGGCACAGAGCTCCATTGATGTCCAAAACGACACCATCTCACCTGCAGTACATATATAAACCCACACACACACTATATAAAACCACAAACCAATAGGATTTAATCCAAAACTAAAAGTTCCTAATAAATCCTATTTACTCATTAATGTTTGCAAAAACACTACAGGTCCCAACTCTTTTAGGAACTAACTTAGAACACCATGTATTTCTGAACAGTTTTTAAACCAATGGGCTTAAAGCTGAGTAGGCAAAGCAAAAATGGCTACACGCACATCATCTGTACTGTGCCAAGGTATCCAAAACTGAGTGCCACAGACAAGAAAGCAAGTTTTTAATGGTTTTGGTTTATTGAAGAAAACTAAAGTAACATTAGCCACACCCGTTACTCCATGCAAACCGAAGCTGGGCCCCTCATTTATTATTATTATTAACCCATAACACTGGTTAACGACGGTTTCTAATGTGAATCACAGTACAGCACTAACAGACATAACAGGTACAGTATGCGGTAGGCTGTATGTATATAATGGCACTTATAAGCAAAGAACCAAAATTCAAATATGCCAATCTATAGTAAATACGAGTGTAGCTATGCTCTACAGTCAATGCAGATTTGAAACTGTAATTCCACTTACTTTTCAGTGATCTCTCTCATAGGTTTTAGCTGGATATGCCTTTAGCATAACCTGTTTTGGTTTACTCCAAGTCTTGGACACAGGCTTGAGTTGGCATGTGCAATCCATTTGCTGTGATGACATCTTGCGCTAGCACTGATGTCTACATTATGTTCAAATGACACTATGCGTTTCTATCCCTGCAACATCTGGATGCAAAATAAGTTCAATCCACTCCTTGGAGAGGGAAATCTGAGCCAGTTTTAACATAATCCTCTTCTCCTTTCGGCTAGTAGATAGTAGAAATAGTGGATTTTAGCAAAATCCACTATTTTGTGGGTAGCACAACTAGCCATCTTTATGTACATTCTCCTGCCTCCACCTAACAGGGTCAGACCGACCTCTTGACGTGAATCATTAACTGGCACCCATATACCTATGTTGTACTCTTTCAAATGTTTTTGTATTCATTCTTTTCGCGTACCACAGATGTTTTGTTTCTGTTTTAGTATAAAATGTATTTAAGAAATGTCTGGAAGGTCATTGGATGGGCCAAGCAATTTATTTGGGCAGGCACTGCCCCTGAGGCCCGCCCACAGCAACAGGTATGACACCAGCCTTATCCTTTAAGTGCACAGCATACAGTACACAGGTCTGTCAACTTATGAGCAAAGTACCTCTGATGCCTGGCAGGGTCAAACTCCCCATCCAGCTTGTGTATTAATAAAGTGAATCAAATTAAAATGCATAAAATGGCAAAGTCGCGATGCTCAGTCTTACCATACTTCTGCTCCATACAGACACCACTTTGATGTCTTTAATGTATTCGTGCTCAAACTCTTACATTTGTTGCAGTCACTATGTATTTGACTATCTTCTCTATGCCCATATTGTCTAGAAGTCTCTTAAATGAACCTGTAATGCTATCTGATTTAATTGCCAGCACAGATGATTCTGCTTTATGAGCAATAACCCATTCACCCCAGGGGTATATCAATCCTAATGCATCTATTAAAGTCTGCCTATGACATTATTATGATTAGTCACTTTGTTTTTCCCGGATGGGAACAGTACAAATCTGAATATGAATAGAGAAATATTTGTGATTATCTATTGTCACCACACATTAATCATAACTAATCTCCATGACTTCGATATTAAATGTATTCCTGTGTCCTTTATGGACGTTCTCACCTTGTTTTTGAGAAACAGATGGTATCAAGCATAGTTAAATAATTATTCTTGAAGGATGTCACTGCCATTTCTTTGATGCAATATACATGAACTGATGTCATTTGGCTTTTACGTCTGGGAATTTGCTGTAACCAACCAATTCAGCAATGACAGTGGCCACTGAAGATGTCGTCCAGTGCTGGAGGATAGGAACTAGGTGGCAACATTAGATATTACAGTTGCTCTTTAGCATCCTCAGCTACTATACAACAATTTTATATTGACACATGGGACAACTATCCAAAAAAAAAAAAAAAAATCCCATTGTGCCCTTTCATCTGCTAATAACTCCAGGAAGTGGTCCGGTATGTCACATCCATATTCAAATGTGCTCATGCTTCATTTAAATAAATCAACAACAATTCATATTTATTAGTGATTAATAATCTGAATAAAACTCAACAAAAAAGAAGTAGACAGAAGCAGTCAGTTTTCATTCATCAGATTATAGCATTTATGAATAGCTAACCAGCAGAAAGTTTTGGCACAACAGCTAAAATGCTATTTACAGTGCTCGTCTCTGAACTGAGCAATATATTCTTACTAGAGTGTTTAGTGTTACCTTAACAAAAATG